ACTTCGAGGCTTACAATATATTCTACAACAATAAAAAAACTTACCTAAGATTGTGAGGATTGGCTAATCTCCTATACACTACTCTTAAAGAATTTTACAAATTAGATAAATAGGTAATTAAAATGGCATATTTATGTTTGCCCACACGGTTATTTCACTTTTAATTAAAAAAAAAATCAAATTTGACTATGAATTAAAAGTTTGGTAAAGTGAACCTTTGACTAAAAAACGGAACATAGTAAGACAACTTTGGCAAAACTAGCTGTTGCTGTGAGAAGTTCGATATCGCCTTATTTCAAGGGAAAAATAAAGTTGTAAGGTACTATAGTCTGGCAAATAATAAGTGAAATGACTCATGAGCGTGATCAGTTGGGTTTTTTGTATCGTTTAGCTATCGCAATGAATGTTACCAGGAAGCGTGTTAGTAGCGCAGAAAGAGTGCGTATTTAGTCAGTATATTATATTTAGTTTTCTCAGAGTTAAAGTGTTAGAAGTATACATATAATGCCTTTGTTAAATATTGTTTAGTTAAATAAAAATGGAAGAACCTAGTACTAGCAGGGAGAGTATAAATGTGAAAAGTTCTTGCAAATAGCTAGGACTTGAAGCTAAAAAAATAGTATCTGTGTACGAGTATTTGTATGATAGGAGTATCGTCATCCACTGTTTACAGGATTGTCCGTCAATAACAACGCAATTGAATTTAATGAACGTAACAATTCAGAAATAATACGTACAGTTCATTCTTTTTATTTTAATAAAGAAATTACTACTCTAGACAAAATATTTTCTGTAATAAAAATTAATTAAGTAATACTCCAAAATGAGTCGTGAAACTTTGCATAAGCAGTTACGTAAATTGGCATTTACTTATACTACATACAACAGGAATTCAACGTTGATAGAGTTGTAATGTAAGCGTAGCAAGTGAGTGAGAAGTTGGAATAAAGGGATAATGGAATAATAAGTAGCATAGAAAAGATAATAATTATTCGAGATAATTATTATATATTCCAAATCAAATAAGGGATAATTATTACAGTAAAATTTTCATTTTTAAATCCCACAAATAAATTGACCTAGTTATTGCATTGTTTGTTAATTGTTTAAACATAGAAAAGCACGTCAAACAAAAAACTGTTATTGTGATGCAATATAGGACCCACAATTCAACGAAAACACAACCTGGACTATAACCGGTCAATGAGGACACCATTCGATAAAAACTAGAAAACGGGGACAGCCAAGTCAGTAGTCAGTCAGTAGTAGTGAGACGGCGGGCGTCCAGGCATCAATTGCCGCCCCGGCTACTCTCGACGCGGTAGCGTCGGGTACGAGTAGCTAGTAATGGGCAGTCAGTAATAGCGGGCCACCGTGACTGGGACGCGACAGCGTCCAGTACGCGAACAGTACGCGAGACAATCGGTGATTCTCCGGGGGCCGGGTATCATCTGGCAGAGTTCGCGTGTAGTCCGGTTATTGTGGCAGCTCGGAAGTTCGCAACCCTCAACTGACCGAGTTCCAGAAGACTGAACGTGTCGTGGTTGAAGCCCTAATATACACATAAGGTAACAGATTTCATTATACTAACCTCTGTAATTATATTAGTACAACTGTCAACTCTTCACTATCTTGCTACATCGTCTCCCGACGCGCAGAATAACGTGTTAACGATTGTATTAGTAACTTCAGGGTAGATTCAATATATTGTTGACTCTAATTTGGTTTTTTTTGATGTTCCTTTCGTCCGACTCACTAGAGACTAGGAGAACACGAGATTCTGCGTATGCATATCTCCGGCTTCAAAAGTAAGCCCATAACCTCTGCTCTTTACAGGACCTGAGACCTAGGAGTCCTTACCCCTATCCCGAAATCCCTTATCTTCTCGTAAATCCACGAAGACGAGCCAGCCCTCCAGACCAGTGTGACCAGTATTCCTTGCAGCCGCTCGCAGGGTTAGCATCCCTTGAGGATCTATTGTGTATTTCATTTGGTGACAGCGTTTTCCTTACCTTCACATAACGCTCTCATTCCCTATTATTTTACAGAGTACCTGCGTAAAATATCACGAGTTCTGTGAACAAAATATAAAAATCTATTATTTAGTCAAAACTTGTGTCAATGTTGGACATACTGTTAAAAATGTGCGGACTGACACTACTGTAACAAGTAGTCGGTAATTTTTTGTTGAAGGTCTATCTCAAGGATTCTGAGGACCGACAGGTAAAGGACAGACTCACAGTCTCTAAAAGAGAGTGGTTTAATTTTTTCATAAAAAAAACTGTAATTACCATGAGGATATGAATGCAGATATTTTCAAACAGTGGTTTCAATATGTTCGGCAAACAGCCGAAAGACTGAAATGCAAAAATGGTCCCGGGAAAAAAATATTCCGTACTATGACATGCAGTTAGGGTAGAGTTGATGTGTGTAATCAAACAACATCGCCCTAATCATATTGATTACGTAGTGGATGGAATGGTCCGTGCTCGTGGTATTACTGTTTTAAGACTTTCACCATATCACTGCGAATTGAGCTAATCTGGGCACAAGCAAAGGGTTATTGGGCACGTCATAATGTAATTTTTAAAATTGAAGATGTCAAGTGTCTGCTAAATACTGCTATTAATGAGGTTACGCCATTAGCATGACAAATGCTATTTTCCATGTACGGAAGGTTAAAAAACGAATGTGAGAGATGTTCATGTTAATGCTAAAATCGAACCCGTAGCGATTACGTTAACAGGTGACAACAGCAGTATTAGTGAGGGTAATGATAATCTCCCTTAAATAGATATATTAAGGTGTGAAAAGTATTAAATGTAAGTACTAATATAAGCAAAAAATATTATATTATTAGTTCTGATGAATCTAATTGCAAGCGAATATTCTACAATTATCGAATAGAGTCTACAATAACATGATCAATTATTTTTACTGTAAGTCTGTCTTGGTGATTTTCAGATGCCTTTGTGTATATCTTTCAGAGCCAAGTTAAAATTTTATAATCGATTTAAAAAAACTATGAAAACATAAGCCTTTTTTGAAATCACAGCATCAAAAATATTTAAAATTCGTTATTTCTCAAACAATTTTTTTTTAATTTTGTTACGGTATTCGTGTTTGAACTGTATTTAAATTCTTCATTTGGCGGAATTTTCAGTTTTTTATTCACGCTTGTAAAATGAAAGTATTTGCTTCGTTGCAGAAATGTACTCATTAATCTGTCGTTCTTTTATTTTGCTGTGTAAATACATTTCGGCAAAATGTTATGACATTGAATTAATTCCGCTATTAAATAAACTAACTCGGTTATTTGACACTCAAGAGAATTAAATTTTTCTCAGACTTCGAATCTTGATAATTGCGTTTCATTCTGTTTACTGCCTTCAACACAATAGATGTATAACTAGTTGTCGATGTATAACTTTTTCCAAATAAACACGTTTTGACATGTTTTTAGAAGACAATATGTACGTACAGTCAAAAACCTGCGGTTGCTAGTACCTACTTTTTCTATTGATAGACTAAATAATTGAATATCCTTCCTTACATCATTAGGTATATAGTTTATTATTACAACATTATTAATGTAAATGAGAACTTATTTTATAAACTAGATCGAATGTAATATTTGTATTAAGCAGAAATATAATATTCTACTGTTACAATGTTAAGTGACTGCAAGGAAATACATTTTCTTAAGTGTCGCCAATGATCGAATTCATGAAGACCACGTGATTTCGGCTACATTTGACCACTTACGGCGCGTGATTTTTGATTTATAGTTTCATTTAATATTTGCCAGACTTAAGTATAGATTAGAAGGCTAAAAAAATTAATATGTTCAAAAAAATTTCCAGCTCCTTTATTTTCAAAAAAATATTTTTGGTTTTAGTTCCCATGAATAGCCCGTTTACTAGAGGGCGTCTAAGTTAACATCTTTAAAAAAGGTGTCCAATGACGGACACCAATTCTAAGCATTGGTATAGTCGGCACGTAATTTCGTGAGAAAATTTACAGAGACCAAAACAAGCAAAATACTAGTAAAATGGCAACGCTGTTAGAGTTACCACTCCTTTATTGTGGTACATAGTAGTAGAACAGTAGCGTAGATATCTAATTTTAAATTAAATAAAAGTTTTTACTTTTATTTAATTTTATTTACCAAAAAGTTTCATTTTCTATAAAGTTTAAATAAAAAATATCGGTGTTTTCAACTTCTGTGATATATCTTGGGAGTGATAACACTAATCGACTCGACTGAACAGAACTTATTGTAAAATAATAATATCTATATAAAACATTGTTAATAATAGTAGTTATTCAGCGAGAATGACAGTGACAGTTTCAGTTGACATCCTCCCCTAAAACATTAATAATTTTTGTCCTATCAAGAAGTGTATTTATACCCTGTTTTCAAAGATATATAAGCAAAATGAGAATATCTACAATTAAAATAGAAATAAAGGTTTCAACTAACACCTAATAAGTACTTACTATCTACTCAGAATCGCTGTTATCACTAGTATCACTCGTATCATCTAAATTATGATGATATTAATATGATAATATGATATTATTATTAATGAGATATTTGTTATTTAGTTTTTTTGTAGTTAAGTGAGAAATAAATTTAGTTAAACTACGTTTACTTCACTATTCCTGAACCCATAGAAAAATGTAACAATATGACCAGACAGCTTCCAAAGAAAAAAAAACGAGGTGATTTTGATAAAAGTAACAAATCGGGCACTGAAATATGGGCCACATTACCAAAAGTAATATGTCGAATGTAAGGTTCGATGAGATAAAACATATTATAGCAAACAAACGAAAATTGTACTACATTATGCTGCAAACCTTTTTTTAGAAACAGTTGGAAAAAATATTTTTGCAGTTTGTCTTATTTTGTTCTAACTTACGGAATGTATGTATTTAAACCAAAGAATTTTTTCATTTCGGCCGTCGTCAGTGGGTTAGTCAAAGTGCCATTATTTGGTGCTATGTTTTATTACATTAAATATATAACAAATTTTTTTAAATATACATATTGTTCTCTAAATAAACGATTATTTTTGAGCCTATCACATACCAAAAATTACAAATGTTAAAAATAAGATATAAATTGATTTGAAGCTTAGTTTTAGCTGAAACTGTAAATTAACATCAAAATCGTACATAGAGATACTATCAAGCCAAGGATAATTGAGTCTCGTCGTTTTCTGATGTTTATTCTTTGGATTAAGCTATTTATTACTGGATATTTATTTGAAATGTCGTTAAATCTAGTCTGAAGTCTCTTTAAAGTTTGTCTTTGGGATGTTAAATGTTCTCTGGTTTCCATTGCTATCGATATCTGGTCATTTACTAGGCGATCAGAGCTAGAAAGATAAAATATTTATTAATCAAAAAATCTTTTTTATTTAGATATTTGTAGTGTGTTCAATTTTATATTCCATAATTTCATTAAAGGAGGAAGATAGATAAGGGGGAGTTAATAGCAGATTATATAATGTGAATTAATTATCTTTTCATGATATGGTAAAACATATGGAATAAAAGAAAAAATTAATAAATAATACAACCAATTTAACGTCTTACAAAAAAATACTTTAGGTGTACAGAAGATCGTGATAGTGGAGAACAATACAATTAGACAATGTTACGATAAAATATGAGAAATAAAAAAGATGAAACTATGTAACCAAACGATTAAAGAATATTGGATGAAACAGAGAATAATCGCTAAATAATATTTCCTAGTCCTTGTCAATATAATGTGTAATAACTTGGAATATAAACTGCCAAATATTGTAAAAACATAAAAATAATAAATTTTCTAAATTATTTATATAAGTATATAATTATAATTACAGTAAAACCTCCCTTAACCGAAATCTTTTTAACCGAAACGGCTGAGTTTCAATAATTTCGTCAATAAAAAGTAAATTTTTATCGCAAAACGTAAACAATTCCATTAATTTCACTCACACCAATTGACGCCAACGTGTGTTGGGAAGTCAAAAAAAGTAAGAGCTCTAAAAGATATTTGAGAAGGATGTCGACCACTTTATTTTCAGAATGGTTCGAAAATAAATTCATCCCAAGTGTAAAATCCTTTTTAAAATAAAAAAAAAACCTTCCCATCAAAGCTTGTTGACAATGCGCCCACTCACCCTCAAAATCTACACAATAGTGATAATTGTCAGTTTTTTGCTACCGAATGTCACGAGCTTAATTCAGCTGTTAGACCAGAGAGTAATAGAGATATTTAAGAGACATTATAAAGGAGTATTCTTAAGACATCTGTTATTACATGAGATAAATTAACCCAAAAGTGTTCCCGAAAATCTCAAATCTTCAACAATGAAACATGTCGGTGTGCTTAGTTCTGGGCCAAGATCAGCTCTTCAACTTTGGAAAAATGCTGGAACTAACTTTTTAATTGGATTTTGATTGACGATCCTAAAGAAGAGAATGGTAAAGAAACGACAGAAGAAATGAAACCTTTAATAAAACTTTTTACGGGGTGTTACAAAAGTAAACAAGAAGAGATACGTGAGTGGTTAGCAGCCGATGACTCAGAAAGTGAATTCATCGACCAGGACATAATTGATATGGTTCTTCGTCCAGAAAACCTGAGCGTATCAGACGAAGATGATGACAAACCAACAGACAACAGGCAGCATGAGACCGCCGACGAGATTTTCAATGTCTTAAGGATAAGAATTTTATACAGTAGGCCTAATTAGTTAGGAGATAGAGATACGATGAGATGTATAGCTCCAACACATCGTTGTCAAACGATAACGCAAAAGAAAATAGAAGATTTCTTTAAAAAAGCATGTTAAACTTGATCATTTTCTTAATTTTATTACTTTATTCTGTATTTACTTATTAGAAAATATTACGAAATCACCTCATTAGTATTTTTTAATACCAATACTTTAACCAAGAATACTATAAAAAACAATGTTATTAACCGAAATGTTTTTAATCGAAATTCTTGTTATCCGAAACGGCCTCCCCCCCCCAATTATTTCGGTTAACGGAGGTTTTACTGTAAGTAAGTCATTTCAAAATGCACCAAGCCGAGGTTTTTTTGTAATCAAATTTGTAAAGATACTTTATATGATATGAAAAGGGATATCCACTACTGTTAGCCCAGTCTGGTTATACAAAAATCATCGATTTCACGGCAAAATTTTTCGCAGATATCTGAAGCCTTTAAGATATAGGTGGGGGCTACTCGATGACGAATAGATGAAAAGGTATTCGTATTTTTACCTTGCGTTTTTTTTTTAAACAATAATTATGGTCACAATTTGATTTTTTGTCTTAATAGTTTTTTCCCTTATATTTTAAATAAACAATATTTATGTCATTTTTTTATATCAAGAATATCTTTATTTTCCCGTTTTTTCAATTAAAATTGATAAATAATTTACGGAGATATTTGCAAAAAAGCAGTTTTTTGGAACTAATTTATAAATTTTATTAATTTTTTTATTAACAAAATGGTGGGCTACATACCAAGAAAAGACCAATAGAGAGAAGCTAAATAAGCTTCGACGGTAAGCATGCTTAATCATAGTAGGAGCGATGTCGACTACACCAACCTACTCCATGGAGGTCGTGCTTCATACAGAAGGCGGATACTACGCCAGGAAGCATGTCGAATCTAAAGAGATAATAAACCGAGTTGTAAAGGGTACCAGATACAATGCAACATAAATATAATTTCGAAAAGCAATTTACCGTCGTCTCTCCAGAAAGGGGCGAATGGGAGTCGAATAAACCGAATCTCATAATGACAGATCAATGCTGGTATAGACGGCTCTAAAACCGATAAAGGAGTTGGAAGTATTCGGAGGGAAACCAAGGATAAGCCTTGGTGAAAACCTAGGTAATCACTCCACTATCTTCCAAACAGAAATTTAAGCTAGAGAGATGTGCCTGCAATAACTAATAAAGAGGAACTGAAGGGACAGATCTATAAAATTATATCGGATAGCCAGGCGGAATTAAAGTCACTGGAATCGGAACGAATTGACTCCAATTTCGACAAAAACGAAAAAATAACGACATCGGACTGAATGGAACTTAACCACTGGGTCTTAAACATTCGAAGGCTTTTATAGATGAACCTTCAAAGAAGAGATCCAAAGATCTGCTAGACATGAATAGGAACGATCCGCGAATTATCATAGGTTTCCTAACAGGCCACTCTGTTGGACAGGTTAAGGCTCAATACATAATTTAAACATTACAAACTTGAGCCCTATGACTTTTTAGTCCTCACCAAAGGCTATAATACACTTTGTCAAATAGGTTGGACTGAAAGGAAAATTTTAACCTAGGAATAAGCATGAGCCACAACAGTCCTATTATTATCAAGTGAAAGGGTGGTTAAGCTCCCACTCAGATTGAACCTAACCTAATCTAAGTAATTTCAAAATGCACCAATTAAAAGTTTTTCTGTAATCATAAGTATTCTTAAAAGTAGAGGAAAAATTACACAAGTCATGAAAATCCTTCTTCTTGAGATGTTACTGAGTAATATTCCAATGACATAGTGGTTTTTGTATACAATTCTAATACATGACTGCTTAAAAATTATACTGAATTATAACGTGTTTATTGAAGCCTATTATTTTGCAGTCAGTGCTTTTTTAATAGTATTAACTCTGTTTGAGAAAAAATAACCTTTTTTTCTTTTAAAAATATCTTAAAATGCAACAGGGAGAGAAAATAAACCTAAAAGAATGTGTAGTCCGGCAAAATACAAATGAAATATTATTAAAAATTTCAAATTCAAAGGATTTCCATATTTAAATATTTTTATTAAGTTCTAATTTACTATTTTCTAATATTCACGCTTATTAATATTTTAAGTGTCGTAAAATTACAATTTGAAATATTTATTGAAGAATAACAACCATTCAGTGATTACAGTTATCGTAAAGTATGCAAAACATTGACTTAGAAATGTAGATTACTAATAAGTGGAAAAAGTTATTTCCCTGGAATTAACTCCCTTTTTTAACTTTTTGGCATCGATTTAAACTATAGCTCCGCCAAAAATAATTAAATATAAAATATTAACGCCACTTATTGCAGGTTTAAGAAACAAATTTTTGCAAAATTTACTCCCGGTGGTACTCAAAGTGTATTTTAAAAATAAGCTCTTTTTCGACAAAAGACGAGCAGGATCTACAAAAACTATTTGAAAATTTTAAATACAAGAATCGTGTCCATGAAACGATAATGGTATGCAGAGGGCTAAAATGACTATTAGATTTTAGGGGTTTTTATGCACGTACTTTTCTTGTATCAGGAACAGAGAATTTGAAACAATTCCCTTGTTATAAAAAATAAGAGTTGTTTATTTACACACGCATAGCGTTTGTTTTCACGATAATTTTTCGACTGTTCTAACAACCATTCAAATTTCGTCAATCCCTATGACAACACGATCGAGATTGACAACTTCATCCAAATAAATTTCAAAATGTCACGTTTCGGCAATGAGAATGTTCAAAGTATAAATGCGCTAATCAAAGAAAAAATTCCCAGAAATACAACCTACAGTCACAAATATATTTGGGGAATATTCATGGAATTTTGCTGCGGACGAGAATATGAGTTGAATGAACATAGAAGCTTAGAAGACAATATTACCTCATCATGACTGTTCTTAAAACCAAATCGACACTGGAAAAATGAAACTGACAAATGGTACGATAATGTACCTGTTGGAAGAAATACAATGAATGGATGGACTAAATCTTCTGCTGACGCAATTGGCTTGAATGTAAAGGAGAAAAAGATAACAAATCACTCGAATAAATCAACTGCTGTTAGAGAATTAGCAAAAAGTGGTGTAGAAGAACAACAATTGCTAAAAATTACTGGTCATGGCAATCAGAACTCTATAAAACCATACTTGAATCTCGATCAAGAACACCACAACAAGATTATAAATAATCAAAAGACTGATATTTTTTGTACACACTTATGACAAGTCGAAAGAAAATGTAAAAAAGTATTTTTGAAGTGTGTATATTTTAGGCAATTCCTAGCTGAGCGCTTTCGGCTTTACAAAGCCATCATCAGAGCTATGCTACAATAAAATGTTCTTATAAGTACTAATTGGTAAAGATTATAATTTTTAACTTACGTCAATTTATAAATACCACTACAAAGGAGAGATCTCATTTCCTTATATTTCAAAATTATGATTTTTTTAGTTGTTGAAATTCTTAAAACATATAAAAAAACATATAAAAAGCCGACACTGGACTTCACAAACACGTTAAAAAATTGAAAAATTTTTTTTTGTCATGGTACGGGTGTAAGAACCCGACCATTGATTGATGTGAGGAGGTAGACAGAATAGAACTAATGAAATCAAATGTCGGTCCTTTTAAACGATTTTTCAAAAGTGACAGTTGACAAATGTCATATATAGGAAATAGAGATTGTTTTTTAAATTCTTACAAAATTATTTAATAGTTTGGAATTACTAATAGTCATCAAAGACTTTCTAAAAATTAAGTTTTTAAATTAAATTTTATGTGTTCATCACATCATACAGAATGACATTAGTTTGTAAATTCACTCAAGTCATTGCTCAAGGTCAATGTATGTTCAATCTGACAGTTATATCAGATATATTACTGTCAGTTAGTTCAATATGACCATTTTCTTAAGGATGGCTGTCAGATTGAACATACATTGACCTTGAGCAATGACTTGAGTGAATTTACAAACTAATGTCATTCTGTATGATGTGCTGAACACATAAAATTTAATTTAAAAACTTAATTTTTAGAAAGTCTTTGATGACTATTAGTAATTCCAAACTATTAAATAATTTTGTAAGAATTTAAAAAACAATCTCTATTTCCTATATATGACATTTGTCAACTGTCACTTTTGAAAAATCGTTTAAAAGGACCGACATTTGATTTCATTAGTTCTATTCTGTCTACCTCCTCACATCAATCAATCAATAGTCGGGTTCTTACACCCGTACCATGACAAAAAATTTTTTTCAATTTTTTAACGTGTTTGTGAAGTCCAGTGTCGGCTTTTTATATGTTTTTTATATGTTTTAAGAATTTCAACAACTAAAAAAATCATAATTTTGAAATATAAGGAAATGAGATCTCTCCTTTGTAGTGGTATTTATAAATTGATGGCTTTGTAAAGCTGAAAGCGCTCAGCTAGGAATTGCCTAAAATATACACACTTCAAAAATACTTTTTTACAAGATTATAAATATTATGCGTGGTAATAGATCTTCTATAGTGTAGAACAGCAACGAATCTAATGTTAACTTAAATTTTAATAATTGTACTTTCACTAACTGTACTTTTAATAAATAAATGTTTCGTTATGTTGAGTTACGATTTTTTTTTTTCGAAAAATTATCCGCCGAATATCCCTCGGACATTGGTGAATGCCTCATAATTTCTTGACAAATTTCTCAAGCTCGTTGCTTGGTAACAGCACAAAGCCAAAGACTGAGGAACGAGCTTTCGATTGTCATGAAATTATCTCGTCTGTTATCAATGTCCTAGGGATATTACTACTGACAATCAAATCTAACGACTACACAGAAATATGTTCGTATGATATAGATATTACATATAAAGAATTCGCATGATAAGCAAGGTGAATAGTATTATTGCTGTGTGTAACGGGGATCGGTGCCAGGTCCTACCTCAAACATGTATTAAGTATGTGTTATGTGTTAAATATGTTCACATGTCAATTAAAGAAGATGTCTCATCTCATCTCGGAGTATGCCAAAAATAAATTAACATATTCTCTTCCTTCTTGGAAAATTTCTTCAAATTTATCAAATAATGCAAAAAAATCGTTTGCCATTGAGTTCCTGATTTATAAAATTAATTGAAGAATGTTTATAACAAAATTTCAACAGGTGAAGATGTTTGCATGAAAAAAGATGATTTTATGAAAAGTATGTCACTGACTCTAAAAATGTTATCAAACAAAAATAGTTTCACAATAGAATATAGAGGTATACCAAAAGAACAAAAAAGAACCTATGCATTCATGAAGGTCATATGTCATTTTATCAAACATATCTAGTTATAAACAAACTCCCTGAGATATTTCTACCGAAAATTAAGGTTTGATTCACTACAACCAACCATAAATGTCTGGGCTATTCTAAAAAAGTCTTAATTTTGTGGCTTAGGTGGAATTTGAAATGGTTTATCCAATTAGTTGTAATTAGAAAACATACTTATGTATATGTTGGTTTTCTTTAAGATATATATCTCTTCTATTATTAACTCCATCACTTCTAAAATTGTCAGTTCCTCTTAGAAGGTCTTCCCTCTGCCGTTGACTTTCTCGTAGTGAATTAGTCTTCCTAAAATCTCGAGAGAGATCGGCCAAAATATCTTTATGTCTCTGCAAAGTGTGCATCATTGCAGCACCAGTAACTGGTTGCTCCGAGAGTGTCTCATTTATTTGTGTTAACTGAAAAAAAAATGAATTTAATCATAATTTTGACTGCAATTCAGGTATAATGTACATTTAAATACATTCTCAGAATAATTGTGAGTTCATATGTTTGTTATTGTATTTAAAATTAGTTCAAATAATTATGAAAAATGACAATGTGTAAAAGAAAATATTGTGCAAACATCAGAAAGTCCCAAACAATTGGAAGAATTATGATTAATGTACAAATAATGGATTATAAAGAATTGAGTGACATAGAGAAATTCAGTGAAAACCATAAAAGTCAAAGGTCATAATCCAATGTCAAATGCATAACAGGGATAAAAATCATATTCATTTTTACTCCAAATTAGACACAGTTATTTATTTTAACAGGATAATATATGTAGTATTAATCAGATAAATCCAGAATACAATGAAATATTCACTAATATGTAGCTTTATCCAATAAGCATGGATAATTCTAGCTCTATCTGGGTAATTGAAGAGGTCAAAAGCCAAGGGGCCCTAAGTAGTTTTTTCTAAAATGGAGTTAGGCACACAAAAGTAAACTAGATTATCATATTTACTTATATAGTATTACTTAGTAGTAGCACTACTTACTAAAAGTGTAGTGTATTTCAGTGGCAAATGGATCCAAGTGCATTTCAATATATGTGCCACTGGCAAATAAAATTATTTTTCTTAATCAATTGATACAACAGTAGTACTTTGTGTTTGTATCGAAAGTGTGTAGTGAAAATATAATTTGTAAAATATTTTATGTCTCTTATTAAGATGGAGAACTCAGCACACGTGAAAAATCAGGTAAGTGATTTAGTAGAAATATTATTTTCACTATTAGACTGAAGATTGAGGTTGTAATAAGAGTGTACCTATAAGATATAAGCAACAAATTAGAAAAAAGTGGAACAGTAGGCGGTACTGTAGACTAGCGCGGAACTTCATGTTATGTTTTCTGTATTTTTAAAATTTAAATAATATATTTAAAACTTAATAAAGTAATTTTATTATTTATTTATTTTTTACATTTTAAACAAATTCAATAAATTATTAGTTTGTTCCTACCGCCACCTGTTAATGTATTAACAAAGCACACCATGGCTAAACAGGGAGTAGCAGCAAAAACAAAACATTGGTCAGTCTTGCCAAACTATATTGATAAGATGCTGATTAGCATCACAAAAGAGTGATTCTTCACATCAACTCATTAGGCTCAATCAATTCGTTTCTAGTTATCATATATTTATTCTAAGTAGGTTTAAATTAAAAACTACATTAAAAATAACAAAATATAGACATTTAATGAGAAGTAAAAACATAGAACAGAAAGTTTCAAAAAATACCAAAGATTTGCATGGGAAAGTGGAACAGAAATAAAGCTGAAATTAAAAAAAATAGCCTTAAAGAGTATGTTGGATGTTGAGGAGAGGTTCATTGTCAAAAAACAGTGAAACGTTATGAACACAATGTGCAGATATAGGTGTTCAAAGAACTTTATCACAAGACATCAAGAACAATGCTGAACTATGCAGTCAAAGTAGAATATCAATTATCTAGTGCTATATTAAGAATTTAACTCAGAGTTTGTTTAAGAAAGAAGAGAGTAAATGAATAATAAAACTATGTAAATGAATTGACTCATTGAACATTATTCACAATTATTAACTAACTGCAGACGATTTTCACATTTGGCCCCATTGAAGATAGCCTCAAATTAGCTGTCAATTAAGTTTCACAGAACGAAATATTGCGTTGGCAGTGTTGCCATGTTCATACAATGTATATGTTATACGCTTCAAATACAAAGAGATAAAACTTTTAAAAGGTACATTTTTATCATATTTTATGGATTCTGCAATTTTATACCTTATATAAAATAATAATGAAGTAATATTTGTTTCGTTTGATATGAGTTGTAATAAATTATTAGAAATTTTTTTGGCAATTGCCCTTTGATAGGTTAGCCGATGATTTGGCAATAGAGTCAGAACCCTCAAACCACCAGCTGCCAGATTGCAACAGATGCCTTTTAAATTTTATTATTTATACTGACATTTTACTATTTACTGTTAAAAACTGTTATAAAACTATTTACTTTTTCCTTTTTTCTTAATTGTTACATATTAGTTTTTAAATATCTTGTGTATGTTTCATTTGTAATATAAATTTCAACACTGCAAAACACCAATATTTCATTCTGTCAAACCCATTTGAAGCTAACTTCAATGGGACCAAATGTGAAAATTGTCCCTAACTGCAGCTAATTTTACATTAAGTATTCAATTTTTATGTTGAATATCATTTTGAAATTTTGCCAAGTCACACTTGATAAATGTGGTTGTTAATGCTGAGTACTGAAACTTTACCTTGTTTATTAATTCTTCAATTTCCAAAGACATTGCTTCAAAAGTGTCTTCTCCAGAAAGTAGGGGTATGGTATCAGCATGAGAAGTACTAGGTGTTTTAATTCCAGCACCTAGTTTACTAAATGCAACTAATTTTAAGTCTATCTCATTTTCTAGCTGCCTAGCCTGCTTTCGCAGGTCTGAAATTGAAAAAATATATTATTTGATAACCTAATATAAACAAATTTTCTTGGATCACTTAGAATATACAATAGAATTAAAATATATATTCTACGACCAAAATGAATACACATAATACAGCAAAACATATCCTTACAAGAAAAATTAACCATTAAATTCAAAGACCTGAAACGCAATTCTGTGGCTTGGAATGAAAAGGGCGGGTGTCACAAAACGTAAACTCGAGTAATCGGCCATTGTTTATATTTGGCCGCATATTAACCACATTTCGCAAGTGCGAAATATGCTACTGGAACATCCAATTATAACAAGATGTTTTTCCGGAAGACCCACAAAATAGGAACCTGGAACATACAAGGTTTAGTACAGCATCCTGGAAAACTACATATAGTCGAGAGAGAAATGAAAGATCATGGTGTTTCGATTCTTGGTATAAGTGAAACCCACTGGAAGGGGACAGGACACTTTCGTAGCATTTCCGGAAACATCGTATATTTCTCGGGCAATGAAAATGAAAGTAAAAATGGTGTCGCAATAATAGTTTCTTCAAAACTCCAAAACTCTGTTTGTGGATATGATACAATTAATGATAGAATCATCCACCTTAGGATTCTAGGATCAACTTGTGTCTTACACATTATACAAGTATATGCCCCTACATCAACAGCAGACGACATAATTGTGGAAAATTTTTACACAACTTTGGAGACAACACTCGACAAAATATCTAACAAGGACATTGTAGTGATAGTGGGCGACTTCAATGCCAAAATTGGTAGAACTCAGCTTGATCATCATATGAGATTCACCTTGGGTCCTTTTGGTCTTGGGGAAAGAAATGAACGAGGCGATAGATTAATAGAGTTCTGTGGCCAAAGAAAATTGTCTGTAATGAATACCTACTTCCAACACCACCCACGAAGGCTCTACACTTGGAAATCACCGGGCGACCGAACAAGAAATCAGATAGATTTCATAATGATAAATTCAAGGTGGAAGTCCTCAGTCACTAACGCAAAAACTTATCCAGGTGCAGATTGTGGAAGCGACCACCAACTTCTTGTAGCTGTATTCCGAATACGTTTTAGAAACAAACACAAGCCCACTCCTAGAACTCCCATGCTTACAGAGACTGAACTTTTAACTTTCAAAGAAAGAATAAACCCAGTGTTAACTGAGACAAGTACTACCCCCATAGATAATATCGAGACTTTCTGGGGAGTTTTTAAAAAAGATATATTAGATACAGCTAAGCAAAGTCGCCAACCCATAAAAAACAACAGTCGTAAACCATGGATCAGTGACCAAACATGGAAAATTATAGAACAAAGAAGGCAACTTAAAGTTGGCAGTTTTGATTTAAACGACTATCGAAGCTTATCAAGAGAAATCCAAAGAAATTGCCGGAAAGATAAAGACAAATATGTGTCTAACATTTGCCAGGAAGTAGAAATCCACTTACATCGAAATGAAACAAGAGATCTCTTTCAGAAAGTAAAGTTACTGGCTCGGGAATTCAAACCCAGAAATTACGCTATAGAGGATGAGACAGGCAATATGGTAAGCGATATGGATGCAGTTCTGGAGACTTGGAAGAAATACTGCACAGAACTCTATAAAGCTGAAACCTCTAACATTAAGCATACAACAGCACTGCAAGTCTCAGCAACAACACTAGAACCAGATATTCTAAGGTCGGAAGTCGAGGAAGCCATAAAACACCTTAAAAGAAATAAATCACCTGGTTGCGATAATATCACGGCAGAACTTTTACAGAACATGGGTGAACATGGTATCCAATTAATGTGGAGACTGTGCAATCATGTATGGAGAATCGGTAAATGGCCCAGCGATTGGTGTACCGCACTATTTATTCCCATTCATAAGAAAGGCGTAACCACAAAATGTAGTAACTACCGAACAATTTCACTAATTTCACACCCAAGTAAAATTCTGTTGAGAATTATCAAGTGTCGCATGCAGACATACCTGGATAGACAAATACCACAAGAACAGGCAGGCTTCGTTAAGGGTAAAGGCACAAGGGAGCAAATTCTTAATATGCGACAACTCATTGAGAAAGCAAGAGAATTCAAAATTCCGATGATCATCTGCTTTCTGGATTATCAGAAGGCATTTGACTGTGTAAACTGGACAGTTTTATGGAAAGTTCTACATGAGATGGGGGTTCCTGATCATCTGTCAGCTCTGGTGAAAAGTCTATATGAGAACAGTGAAACCAGAATAAGAATTGAAAATCATAAGTCCGATCCTTTTAAAATAGGCAGAGGAGTCCGACAAGGATGTATTCTATCTCCAAGTCTTTTTAATTTCTATGGGGAATATATAATGAGAAAAGCACTCGACAAATGGAATGGCGGTATTTCTATAGCAGGAAAAAAGATCTCAAATCTCAGATATGCAGATGATACAACATTAATAACTGCATCCGAAGAAGAAATGTCCAGCCTGCTGCAGCTAGTGGAAGTCGAAAGCAATAGATGTGGTCTCAAGATCAATAAACAAAAAACAAAAATTATGATAGTAGACTATTCAAATTCACTTCAGACAACAGGAGCCTTGGACCAGTTTGAAGTGGTTAACGAGTTCAATTATCTAGGATCCTACATCAATAATACAGGATCTTGTGAAACAGAAATACGTAGGAGAATAGGCATGGCTAAAAACGCTATGAGTCGATTATCAAAAATCTGGAAAGATCGCGCCTTGTCGAAGAACACCAAAATAAGATTAGTACGTGCATTAATTTTTCCCATATTTAGTTACGGATCCGAAACATGGACAATCAAATCGGACGACAGAAAAAGGATTGACGCTTTTGAAATGTGGTGCTGGAGAAGAATGCTTCGGATCTCATGGACGGAACACAGAACAAATCACTCAATCCTCCAAGAGCTTAATATTCAGACTCGACTTTCGTCTATTTGCCTCTCCACCGTCTTAAAATTTTTCGGCCATATTGCAAGAAGAAGTGATGATAATCTTGAGAGACTTATAATTTCGGGAAACGTTGAAGGGCGCAGAAGTAGAGGTCGCTCACCTATTCGATGGACGGATCAGGTACAGAAAGCCAGTGGAAAAACATTTTCAGAATCCATGAGGGAAGCTCAGGACAGAAGCCGATGGAAAGAGATAGTGGCTCGTATTATAGGGAATCACGACACTCAGCAATGAGGAAACGACTGAGGAGGAGATTAACCACATTTGCTTGTAGTTTATAAGCTTACTACTTAATACAGCACCATCAATGTATTTGTAAAAGATAATATTGGAATATCCCTATGTTTGAAACAATTTGTATGCTAGAAATATTATAAATAATATAAAATAAAGGGACAACCGCCTTTTTTAATGAACTGGTGTACAATTAATTCTTATGGACATCCGACTTTATAAATAAATAATCCTCTTACAAAATGAACAATTTTATTTTCAAGGTATAACAAAACATAGATTAATAATTTTATTTAGTTTATAAAAGATTTTATTTTCGGTCGTCTTCATCAGAATCTAGATTTGTATAATGTGGGAGGTTTATATAATAATCTTTATGCTGTTCGTCCACCCATTGTAGAAGAACCATAAGATTGTCGTATTTCTTTTTATTAATGGGAATTAAACTATTTACCCTTATTGGCTTTAAACAATTATTCGAGAAACCTAAGTTCAGTCTTTTGTTTCTTTTAAAATCTACTTCTTTAAAGGCTGCATGAAATTCCGTTTTATATAGTAATTTACCAGGTTTATCTGATCGTACTTGCAAATGAACAATATTAGAACTCAAAAACGGTTCTCCATCTGTGTTTACTTTACGAACAATTAATTTTCCATGAACAGAATATAAATTAGCCCAGTTGAAAAATTCATTTTGGGACATTTCGTGTACTTCCAATGGCTTATTACTGTATTGGCAAGTACGTATAAACTGTGCCCATTCTCTAGGAGTTTGAATGGACATTGTAGACAGTCTTTTCTTTTTCTTCTCAATTACAGCATGAACTGCATCTACTTCCATATGTGTATGGCCTGTCAATAAAAATTTGTGGTTTATTACAAGATGAGGAAATTTTTGAACCACGTACAAATACATGGCAAACAACATTGTATTTCTGTTTTGCCCAGCGCAGTTGTCAGACCAAAGAGTAATTTCTTTTATATTATTTGGGAGAGTTTGAATCCACTTAAATAAACACGATGCTATTTGATTCCCACCTCTCTCAGATATTGTCTCATTCCATATCATACAATGATTTTCTCCAGCAGTGTTGTCGTGAATAGTAAAATTAAACGTCCATAGCTGTCGAAGATAGAATGATTTTGCATTGGTTAATAATGGGGTCGGTAAACATTTTTGTAAATCAATCATTACAACCCGTTCGTTTGAGCCTTCCTTCTTGGCTCTCTCTTTATCTACTCTCTTTAGACCATAGCGAGTTTCTGCATCATCTAAATGTATTTTTTTAGCATTTTCGATCGTTTTTCTTAGATTCTCATCATTTTCGTTTTGTAAACTACATGTAATTTTATCACACATATCACATGTATCCAAGTTCGGTAGTTTAAAACTCAGATTAAATTCAGTGCAGAATATGAATCTGTACATACTAGCTGTTACAATTTTTTCTTTGGGTATGAGTTCTTCATTACACCAATCAGTGTATAATTTGTACATTACAGCAATGTTTAATTCAGGACTCAAATATTGTCTCTTAGAATGGCTACGACTGTAATGACTTTCTACTCTTGGAAATAGATTAATATGTTCCATAACAGTGCGCTTCTTTTCTTCATCTAATTTTCGTGCTGATATTGGTTCACCAGGACTTGAAATTAAACCTCCTGGCGATTGCAGTTTCTTTATTACTGCTCCACGGACAACCTTTTCAGATATTGATAATGTATTCAAAAACATAACTTTACATATTTCAATATTTTTGTTATTTATATTGAAAACATAGCTGTAAGTAAAGTTTCTCCTACCTAACTGACTGCCATTTCTGGATCTTTGTCTATCTTTTGGACGAATATTAACACTTTGTGCCAAAAATTGATGTCTTTGTTCCCAACTATAAGTTTTTTTCCAAAACGTTTGAAATATTTGAAATCGTTCATTTGCATCAAGTTTAGTATGGCATAATTTTCTGCAATTGCAAGGTATACCCATCACTTTAGCAGCTTTTACGTTTTCTTTAAATCCAACATATTCTTCTCCTTTTAGTCTTTTTGCCTTTGCAATGTTTGTTTTCCATAACTTAGGGTTTGATTTTCGTTTCCTTGTCGTTTTTCTCCTATTTTGAGAATCAATCTCTTCTTGTTCTGTATCGTTACCAGAAACTGGGCCATCATTTTTATGTTCAATTTTTTCTGTCCCTTCTTCACTGTCATTTTCTGTATCATTGGCTAAATCTAAGGTTGGATCGTAACTTAGATCATTCATATCTAAATCATTAGTATCACCTAAAAAAAAATTAGTTTAGTTCTCTAGTGCATAGATACAAGGTTTACTAAGCTCATCTTACCTTTAGAACTTCGCATGGTGTTCACATCTCCATCATCATTTCCATGTAAAACCTGCAATCTATTAGTTTCTCCCAGAGATTCACCTGCATGAATCATACCATTACCAACATACGTATTAGGAGTGATAAGATTTATATCTTCTGTAACTAAAATAATACAAATATATAAGTTTTAAGTGGACATACAAAATGAAAATGTAAATTTTACCACTACTGGGTACCTCTTGTTCTAGATTATTTAGAGAAATTTCAGCATTACTTGCGGAATAAACAACTTCACTGATGTTCTCTAAAATCAAAGCATTTTTTCGTAGTATAGAGTAAAATCAATTTAAAAACTAAATCTTACCTATAGGAGTTCCATGTGATTCTAATATAACATTAGGAGCAACAAAAGAATCCGCAAACTTACATTCTAGTTGTATGTTTTCATTATTTGCTGCAAGGAAAGAATTTGGAATAGTACATCATTACTAATCATATTATATGTGTATCTTTATAATGCAGGTATGTACTTACAAAGATAAGTTAAATTTTCTTTATCATCTTCTTGATTAGTGCACTGTTTTGCCAATAGTAATATTTTCTTTCCCCTATTCATCTGTATAAATAAGTATTTCACAATAAAGAATACTCTATAAACGCCAAAGAAACAAGGCACACTAATATATTAATTGAGGTTAGGTTTTGAGAATGTCAGTTGGACTACCGCCTTTTTCAAACTGCACGTGCTGAAGCATAATAATCTTATGTCCATTATATTGCAAGAAAGGGCGGGTGTCCCATATACGACCTTTTTACGTAAAAAGGAGTATTTACTTACGCCTTTTTGTTTTGCAAAAGTTAAAAACCGTAAAAGATATGGACATCTGACTTTTTTTAAATGAAACTATCTCATATGCTTACTATAGAAATGATATGAACCTAAAATACAGAAAAATGGACATCCGCCCTTTTTATTCCAAGCCACAGAATTAGGCCTTTTACTCCTTCAGGAATTAAAAGCAGTGTGTGAAGAAGAATTATTATAAATAAATTATAGCAGGGTTAATTAGTAAATAATTTTATGTTTTTACCTTCATACGATAACGCAGTGGCCATTCTTTGTTAAAAAAACTATATTAAACCTAAATAAATATTTTGCCAACTGTTTTGACACTATTCTTTTGATTGAAAGATGAATGAAAGAAAATCCACTGGAATAAATTAGTCATCTTCTTAGTAGAATTCTTCTTCTGTTTTGTAAGTGTATTGGTGGTCAGTCAGGTTCTATCTTATTTCCATTTTTATATATTTTCTGTGCTTTTAAATTATAATACCAATCAAACTAAAATGTATCTCAATTTGTTATTTATTTATTTCAAGCTTTGTATATACGTTACTTTGATAAAAATATCTGATACAAAATATTTAGGTACGCTTTGGTTTTTCGAGTAGTAATTGCTATCTTCACATTTATTTTACTTTGACAAATGGTAATTGACCTTGAATCATTCATAACGGTTTTATTTTAAAACTTGTGCAATTGGAATAAAAAAAGACGTGAAGAATTAAAAAACATGTTACCTGGCAAAAGTGACTCATTCTCATTCCATAGAGCTGCCCCTGAAAATTTTGCTCGCTGTTCGAATCGAAGTGTTGGTATGGAAAATTGCCGACGGAAATTGGAGGACAATTTTAATGAAAAAAATGGGGCACCTGCAGATAGATCTATATTATCTGTATTGTATTTAAATGATAATGCTAGGAAAACACTTAGAAATGGAGCAGAAAGGATTACAAAAACTTTTAATACCTTTCGAACTTCTTTGGGGACTTTTACACAGGTATATTATCTTCTAGTATTTAATTATTTTTTCCTTTATTTTTTTCATGAAATCCTTCAAAATATAAGTCTATATTTTTGACACCTAAGGATAACAAATTATTTTAGAATTTATTTAATTACAGAAGCATAATTCATATGGCTGAAATTAAAACAGAAGTGATGTTTTTAGAATCATTAATTAAATCAAAATATAAACCTTTATCTAATATATTAATTTCATACTTTATGTATAAATTAGTTCCAGTCCTTAGAACAATTTAAAAATGTGATAAAGAGACTGCTATTTGTGTGATATTAGTTTGTATTCAAGTTAATTATTAGTTTTTGTTAAACTTACTAATTATTTTCCAATGTTGTGTTTACTTTGTAAAATTTTATATATTATATCTTGTTCCAATGTAAACAGTATATCCGTTAATAAATAAATAAATAGTTTTTAAATTTTGCAAGTGACCAACTTAAAAAAAGACAAATTTTTAGAAAATAAAATATATATGCATCATTTTTAAATTGTCACCTCAAAGCAGCAGTAGGATATTTAATAGATAGCAGATATTTAGTATATCTGACAAAGAAAAATAATACTGTAGTGCAAACAAGAATTTATCAAGAACAGGAAATAGTAAGATCCTGATTTTGTTTCCAACGATGAAGAGGTAAGGGATTATGAAAAGACTCATAATTTAACACAAGTACAAGTAGTAGATCCCCAAATAAGTATTCAAGAAGCTGTGAATGAATATAAAAAAATTGTGGAGGAGATAGTAGAAACGAATCAACTTCCCAAAAATAGAAAATTGTTGAAAAACATGGAGTCATGGAAGAGAAACATAAAAAAGCAAAACATCAATTCTGGCAAAATATATGTTTCCAGATTAGGTAAAATGCATAAAGCAAAATCTCTACTGCCATCTTGTAAGACATGTTTATTTAAAAGCTATGAGAAATTTTCCAAAATGAATAGACAGGAGTTATTTAACGCCTACTACCATCTAGCTGATAAGCATCTCCAAAGAGAATTCCTATCTCGGAATATTGAAAAACTACCAAACAATCCTGTAAAACAATACAAAAAGAAAGCCTATACATGTGCCTGCTTTTTAAATCTAAATAACCAAAAAGTTAGGGTCTGCAAATTATTCTTCAAAAATACTTTAAATATTTCCAATTGTTCTATTGATACTATTTAAAAAAAATAATTGAATTGGAAATTTTACAAACAAACAGAGAATTTTTGGAGGTATCTCTTAATTTAAGCATTGTGTGTAGGTTGTACAAGGAGGAATGTTTAAATGATAATAGGCCATTTGTTAAACGACCCATTTACTGGAATATTTTTAATACTAAATTTAACTTGGGTTTTTTTGAACCAAAAAAAAGATTTGTGTTCTATCTGTGAGGAGTAGAAAAATTCAAGTGGTGACAAAAAAGAAATTAAAAGAAAAACTTTTGAGAAGCATCAAGAAGAAAAAGTTTTGTCTCATATGGAGAAGGAGCAAGATAAAAATTTGGCTTTGCAAAATAAATATAATTGTATTTTGTTATGTTCATATGATTTATAGGCTGTTACTCTACTGCCAAATGGTAATGTTGCAACATTTTATTATAAAAGTAAATTTAACATTTTTAACTTTACAATCTTAAATATAAAAGAAAAATCTGGATTCTGTTCCAAGTGGCATGAAGGAGAAGCCAAATAAGGAACCAATGAAGTATCAACTTGTGTTTTTCAGTTCCTAAAAAATATGGCATTGGCAAAAAAGTGGTATTCTACAGCAACAAGTGTATAGCTCAAAATAAAAATAAATTTCTTATGTGTATAAGTATAATATAGAGGAAGTAGATCATAAATACCCTATTGTTGGTCACACAGAAATCGAAGGTGACTTAATGCACTCATGTATTGAAAAGGAAAGAACAAGAATACTTAAAACTGGTCCAATTTATGTTTCATCAGAATTGGTCACCATTGCAAAGTCAGCTAAAAAGAAAGCTAAGCCATATGACGTTACTGAGATGTCAACTGAAGATTTTTTTGATAAAAAATAGCCAAGGGAGCGAATTTTAATGTTAATGAAAACAGCCAAAAAGTTTTAATCAACAACATTCAATGGGTGGAATGGGTTAAAAGGCGAACCTGGAAAATTCTTGAAAAAACCTGAAGAATTTGATGTTATCAGTATTAACAAAAAGTTAAGAAGCCAGAGAGAAAATCCTATTTAATTCTTGCCTATGAGCAAGCACCACTGATTCTGATTTAAAAAAAGAATGATTTAATGAGTTTATGCAACGATAATTTAATACCAAAGAGACACCATGACTTTTTTTAGATCGTTATCTGCATCTGATGTGACCACAACTGAATATGATTAATTTTTCATTCTTTTTGTTTGTCATCAAAAACAAAATTGTTTTGTCTTTTTTAATAAAATGTGTAAAATTTTAAACAAAACTACAATACAATATAAGTTTATATAACACACATTTACAGATATCGTTAAAAAACAGATTAACTTTTAGGGCAACTGTAACACAAATAACTTTTTTTCCAATCATTTTCACTTTTTTATTAATTACTATAAATAATTATGTAAGGCCTGTAAAGTTATATTCTTCTTCAAGTGCCCTGTCCGTTGCGAACGTTGGCTATTAACATGGCAATTTTGATCTTGTTTGTGGCACTTTGTAAAGTTATATACTCAACCAAAATTCCATGTAAATCCATTCAAATATAAAAAAGTTATTAACCCTCTAACCGGAAAATCTGAAATAGTGCATATTTTCCTATATAAATTTTTGTTTCTAGTTAATCTTGCTATGACAATGACGAATATGAAGTTGTTATAAATATTTCCCTATTGGCTGATTCGACAGGTAAAAAAAACTTAAGACATCCTCAAGGACAACAAAACGGTTTAAGTGAAATAAAACAGTATATTTCGTTAAATGTATTTTTATTCGAATAAATAATCAGACAAGGAAATTACATTATTTATGATGATAATCGTATTAACAATTTTTTGAGCTAGAGCAACACAAATGTAGGTGGCACTTTTGGCAAACACATTGAGTTACAAAGTTTTTGCAATATTTACATTTCTTTCTTCCTCCTGATTTACCTAGCCATATTGGAAAATGGTCGTAGTTGTCGTATCTGATATCGGCTACAGGATGTTTAGCTTTCTGATCAATACTACTAGTACCAGGATGTACGGACTGAGAGAAGATGGTCGACCAACAGAACGTCTTTGTGTATACGCCACAAGGCCAGCAGCTATCTGTTCACGAAATTGAAGTAATTGATATAATTTCTCCTTTGGTTCATCACTGTTAGTAGATTTATCAGCATGAACTCGACGGTATAGAATGTATTGAACTGCTTCCATGAAAGTTTCACGGGACTCAGCTGTATTAATTTCTTCGATGCATTCGGAAATACACTGCTCATCTACCGGAGTTATATCAGTTGGTATATAATTTGGATCTGCAATGTCATCATCATCGTCGAAATCACCCTCCACTTCTTCCTTAGAACTTTCAATACAATTCATGAACTCCTGTTGTTCTTCTTCAGAGATATCTGAGAAATTATACTTCTTTTGTCTTTCAAATTCATTGTACTGTGACAATTTTTTTCTAATGAAAAAACGTTGTGGTAGCTGTCCGTCCATTGTTTCTTCTTTTTGTCTTTCAACAAACCAACAAAAATAAATTTAGGTGATAAAGAACTCAAAAACTGCTAAAAAAAATTCACAAAAAGTTTTATCAAGAACAATAGTGAATTAAAAAAAAACATTCACGTAAACCGTTTTGTCATCCCTGAGGATGACAATACAATATAACAAATACAGAGAACAAACTACATATTGCACAATATTGAACAATAAATTAGGAAAATATATGTATTTATATACTCACTACAAAAATTCCTAGTGTAATCCGATACTTAGAAATATCTGTTACAATTTTTTATTTGTTCATAATACGGAGCAATAATAAATACGTGTCTACTCACTTATTGTTCTTACTCGACTGGTAATAAATTTTGAATGGCGCATAGTACAATTTTCAAACGGTCAACAATGTATTACTTTGAAACATACTAAAAGACGTCTAAACGGTTTGATCGACACAATATGTTACTTATTAAATTATTTGAATTAATGTAATGTCATCCTCAGGGACGACTTACCGGTTAGAGGGTTAAGTAATGAAGTTTCATAAAAATTTCAATTGCGTTTTTCTCGAAACAACATTATTTGACATATCCTACTGTTGCTTTGAAGCGACGAAATGTAGATTTTAATGATATAATACATGTTTGTTAATTTTCAATGTTTATATTTT